CTGTTATACTATATATCGGACGGGGGAGGGGGCGGGGCCTCTAGATAGGCAGAGCCAGCTGTCACTCACGCAGCTGGGCGGATCCCGACATAATTGTCTGGATCCGCTTCAGCAGCGGCGTCTCAGTATACTGCGAGCAGTAGCTTGCGGTATACTGTGGCGTCTCAGTGTACCGCGAGTTATAGTGTCAAAGGTTTAATAAAGGGATTGAGGTTAGGATTAAAATAAGTGTTATGGTTAGGAATAAGTCAGGGGCCACTGCATGCGAGTAAGCGATGTGGGTTTTCTTTTTGACATTGAAAACCCCACGTGAACCTGTGTTGGGCTTTTCTTTTACAGAGGATTTTTTAAAGGTTTCAGAAGCATGATATTGATTCATATATGGAAGCAAAGCATTATGATGGCATACAGTTGTGCGAAAATGCATGACCTCAAAGACAACGTATCTGTGTTTTCGTTTACAACTTCAAGGGTGGTTTGCTATGTTGATGGCTGGCCTTAATGTTTTTAGAAGCCGGATGAAAAAGGTGAATTAAAGAGTAGGTAGGTGCAGGGAGGTATGTTCTTTAGTTGGGAAGAGGGAATTTGGAATATTGGGTGTTTGGAAAAGAGGGAAGGCACCAGAAGGTGTATGGGGGCTTTGCTAGACTTCTCTGTGCTGAAACATACTGTACTGAAAAAAAAACCATATCCCTCCTCTCCTTTCAGACCACAGAAACAGATATCCTCTTGTTCTCAGAGCCATGGCCTGTCTAGGGACGGCTTGTGTTCTAAAACCTGCAGCATTCCAGCTGTTCTGCTAGAAAGCTGCCTGTGCCCAGAATGTCCTTCGTTCTTCATGGTCAAACTTGGCACACATGTCATATCTGAGCACCACTGGAAAGTCACAGGCTATACACACTGGCCAGCCCTGGATGGGCCACAGCAGTATGGCTGATATTTCACGGGTTACTTGGAAGAGAAAGGAGGGTGGTGGGGATTTGTAACCTTGTACATATGAATACATTTAAATTACATATCCAGTTCTTCACTTCTAGGGGTCATCAGTCCCAACCTGACTAGTGGTTTAAAATGTTAAAGGATCAGCCGATCCTGCAGATGAATAGCCGGGATTATCGACTCACCACCTGTCCCACCCTGATGCTGCTGTAATCTGCCGCTTCCTAGTTCTGTGCCATACAAGCTGGCACATTATCCCTGCTTTTTTGCTTACATACTCAAAGCTCATTGTCTGGTGGTTTACATAACACCGTGCCACCTGACACATTTGTGGCCTACTTGTGAGTTTATTATGCTTGCTCATTAACTAGTCCATAGTGAGAGTGGTGAAAAAAACAAAGTTCCCTTGGTTTCTCATATTGTGTAAAATCATTGAGGCTCTCCATAGCTGTAAGTATAACAAGATCCTACGGCTTTGCCCAATAAGGGAATGTGAATTATAATCAAGTAATTGAGCTGCTCCCATTTATTATTTAGTGTTCGTTTGACGATGATTTTCTGAACAGCTAAAAGGCTTCTGGTTTTCCTCATTGCACTTCTCAGGCCGTATTCATTGTCATGATTCATTTTAAGAAATTACTTTGTGGTCATCACTATAGAGAATAGTGTAAGTTCTGTTACTGGCTTTACCGGTAAAGAAAAACTGAGTCTTGAGATGTGTGCATGGTGTAAGGAGCACCTGTACTGCCTCAGCTGTACATCCAGGCATTGCTGTAGTGCTGCAGTCTAGCCCTCTTGTTTTTGTGTTAAAGTTGTATTAAACACTCAAACTTGTTTTCAATAAGGAATCAAACAAATATAAATTGCCCAGGAAAATATTCCTTTCAATTCTTGCTTATATTTCTGAACAGCGGGCACCAACTCTCTCAGTTCGGCTTTCCTGAACTTCCTGTCCAGTACAAGAGCACAGGGGATAGGGCAGTCTCCAAAAGCTGTCTATCTTCTAGCTTGGAGAAGGGAGGATTGAGAAAGAACAAGGAAAAAGGAGAAGTGGGGAGGGGGGAGTTGGTTTACCTTGCTATGTCTGCAGGTTTGTGGAGACACACTCAACTTATTAGCACACACAAGGGGGGCTACATAGGACCGTGCAATGGAAAGGAGTCACCCTAAAACAGGATATTAGTGCCCAAGGGACCAGCTGATTCTGCAGGGAACTAAAACATTTTAATAACAAGGAGCAGCATCCATTGTAAGTGATTCAGTCAGCGGTTGATATAGCTTAAAAACGCTTTAACTTTAATATGACTTTAATCTGGGAACCCCAGTTTGTTATATGTAAAACAGGAGAGGAATTCCCAAATACACCCACTTCTGTCAGTGCTAAAAATTACACCCATCATTCAAATTCAAACTTGCCTTGAAAGTTTGGATCTTATTGTTGACACTGCAAGCAGAGAAAGAGGACATTGCATAGCACAGATTCAGAAAGCAGGCCCACCCACTGCACATGTGAGAAGCAGCCTGGAATCTGGCTCTAGGAAATGACATACAATGTAGATGTAGGTAAATGGAGTATAATTTCGGACAGTTGCAGTCTGGAGAACACTGCGTTCACTGATGAGTTTGCAATTCTGCCGTGTATTAGGTGTGTCAAAGCTGGTCAGCATGCCTGGCTGCAAATAAAGCTGGCCATACAATATCACACAGTGGGTGCCGCTGTCGACACCCTTTGGCTGGCATCCTTCGCCAGTCGGAAAATCTTCGGCTGAAAAGGGCCCAATGAGCTGCCGGCTCTGATCGGGCATTCTGACAGCGGCCCACTACTACCAGCACTGCAGTGTTCATCACGGCCTTTGCAATATTATCATTAATTTTTGACCATACTCATCATTGTGGACACTTTCCCACTTTATGGCAGAACCCCATACAAGCCGCTGGGGGCTTGGTAGTTGGCCACTCCGGTCCTGAGCACTGCATGCTGGGGTGGCAGGTGTTGTGTGATGTGCTTCTTCATATTTTAAAGTATCAGGATTTTTACAGACAAGTCATGAGGTAGCAGCAGAAAAGGTCATTAGAGAAACATAAGGGTGCTCAGCCCATGGTGGGGGAGAAGAGGAGGTGCAGGTTTGGCATTGTTATTCCAATAAAAATCATGATTTCATATACCGTACATTTTCTTTATATTTAGAACTAAACCTTATTTATTATTATGACTAATGAGCTTATTGTTTGAGCGTGTGAGGCTACGCTGCAGCTCTTCACCAAGCTGACTGTGTAAACTGTGTAGTTTGTTCATCTGTTATTCAGCCCAATTCTCAATACACACACACAGCTGAATGAGTTCCGTTCCCTCCACCCCTTTCTGCTAGCTCATATGGACCTGTCGTCAATACAGTCATCCAAAGCACCGTGTGTTGGTAATACTTCATTAAATTTGGTTAATATAACTAACAGAGCCCCCTCCATAGCTTTACATAAAAGCTGACTAACATTTTTCATCAAGTAAAAAGGTAAGCAGCATTTTTAAAATTATGCTATGTGAATGGGAACATGTAACAAATATAATGCAGGTGTTTTCCCAGCATAGCTGACACACACACACTTATGTATATATATTAGACATGCACTGAAATGTAATTTTTAGACCGAAAATGAAATTAGGACATTTGTCAGAACGAAACAGAAACTTACTTTTTTTTCCCCAACCTTTTTGAAAACTTTAACTATTTTTAAATTATTTTATTTTTTACCTTACTGTTAGGGGCTTTGGCGAAATATCAGGTCTAAACAGATCCCTGATATTTCCCTTTAAAAAAAAAAAAAAGAGATTGAGGACACAGAGTTCTCAAATCTCTCTTTCTGCAGCCCCAGTTATCAATGAACAGGAAGCTGTCGGTACAAAGGCTTCCTGTCATTCACAATCTGGAGATAGTACATATTTACTATCAACCCAGTCATGAATGGACAGGAAGCCTCTGTACTGAGCTGATTCCTTTTCATTCATAAATTGAGCAGATAGTAAATATTTACTATGTCCCCATAAATGAACAGGAAGTGATGTAAAGCACTTCCTGTTCATTCATAACTGGGGACATAGTAAGTTTAATATGTCCTTAGTTATTTGCAAACACTCAGCGATCAGTACTGATTGCTGAGTGTTTATGCTTCGTTCTCCATCCTGACTGCTCCGCATGACACGGGAGCCAAGCTCTCCTCCTCCATTTTCTGGCCTATATAGCGGTGCATCCGTCCTTTCTCTCCTCTCTGCTGGGCACTGCTCTGTGTCCCAGCGGGGAGGAGAGAAACTGTCACAGACGGCCGAGCGCTGCGAGCAGCCGGCGTCTCTCCTCCCACCCCGCTCAGCCTCCTGTCACAGATCGGCAGAGCAGTGTGTGGGCGAAGACAGCTAGCGCTATCACAGGAGGCTTAGCTATCCTCCCGCACTGCTTATTCAGCCTCCTGTGACAGCGTGTCAGAGAGGAGAGCTAATACAAACACTCAGTGATCGCTGAGTGTTTGTAAATAATTGAGGACAGAGTATGGTTACTATATCCTCAATTATGAATGAATGGGAAGTGATCTACATCACCTCCTGTTCATTCATGATTGTGGTTATAGTAAACATACTATGTCCTCACGTTATGAATGAACAGGAACACCAAGTATAGAGGATACCTGTTCATTGATAACAGGGGCTGCAGAAAAAGAGCTTGAGGACTGTGTCCTCAATCTCATTTTTTTTTTTTTTTAAAGTGAAATATATAGGGGGA